GTTTGCTGTGAACCAGCGCATCGTCCCTGTGGTTTTCCAGGGTGAGGGGCAGAAGTCTGGGGCTGCTGCATCCAGAGGGGCCTCTGATGTTCGGGTGCAGTCCCACCTGAAGAACCTCAGGCGTTCTGTGAGAATAGCGTTTGAGATTCCATCAGGGGCAGGACAGGAAGGCAGAAGCCAGGGGCGAGAATGCACACACTGGCTTGTGTCCTGCACAGAGAGGGGGCCCCCAGAGCTATGTGGGGCTTTTTTTGTTGCTGGTATAATAGCATCTGACATCCATGCGGCCTGGGATGTGCTTGGGCCTGTGAATGATCTCACCTGGGCCCCCTGTTAACCCCTCAAGTCAGCACTGACCACGTTCCCTCCTTCATGGACAGATTAGTTTGAGAGGTGAGGTGAGCTGTGAGTGACGGAGCGACTCCACGGGGGCTGTCGGAGCAGCCTCACTGCCACCTTGCCTGCCTGAGCCTGTGTGTCTGGGGGAATCTCCCTCTTCCCATCGTCAGCACCTATAAGGAAAGCCAGCTGGCATTTCAACTGGACTAGTAATGAATCTGTAGTTCAAATGGGGGAGAATGGACATCTTCACGATGTAGGGTCTTCCAACCCATGAACCTGGGATAGCTCTTTGTTTCTTTAGGTTTTCTTTAGTTTCTCTTAATGATATTTTGTGATTTTTAGTAAACAGGACTTGTACATATTTTGTTAAATTTATTTCTAAATATTTTGTATTTCCTAATACTATTATAATCGGTATTTTTAAAAATTGAGTTATTTTTATGTTCCAATTAATTTCTGGTAATAGAAGTAAAATAGGTTTTTTTTAAAAGTTTAATTTATTTGTTTATAGAGAGAGGGGGAGGGAAGGGGAAAGAGAAAGAGAGAAACATGGATGTGAGTGAGAAACATCGACTGGGTTACCTCTCGTAGGTACCCCTACCAGGGACTGAACCCGTAACCCAGGCATGTGCCCTGACTGGGAATTGAACCTGAAACCTTTCACTTTGTGGGATGATGCCCAACCAGCTGAGCCACACTAATCAGGGTGAAATAAAATAGATTTTTGCGTATTGACCTAGTATCCTGTAACCTCTCTAGAATTCTCTCATTGCTTCTATTCACTGTTTTTGGTAGATTTCCTTAGGATTTTCAACATATATGAGCATGTTATCTGCAAATAAATGCAGTTTTACTTTTTCCTTTCTAACCTTCATCCTTTTACTTCTTTTTTTTTTTGTTTGTTTTGTTTTTTTGCCTTATTGCCTCGGGTAGTACTTCCAGTATTATGTTGAATAGAAGTGGTGAGAAATTCATCTTACAGTAATTATTGGCTTCTTTCTTGCTTCCCTGCATCATGCAGTTACTAGGTCCCATTCATTCTTCCTTAGAAACACACCAGCAGTCGGACGACCTCTCACGAACTCCCCGTAGAGAGCTGGTTACATGTGTCTGCCGAGCCAGAAAGCCGGGCTCAAGTCTTGACTTCCCCAGTTACCGGCAATGTGTACATGGACAGTCACTAACCTCTTGGACTCAGTTTTCTGACTTATAAAAAGAGCACCTACTTCATTGCTTGTTGGTGTTAGTGAGGACCGAGCCCTGGTTCCGCGGAAGTGCACCTCGAATTTCTGTGCCGAGTAGCCCCTAAGTGGCCTCACACTTTCAGCCCTTCAGTCTATTCCCAGCATCCAGATGGATCCCATTAAAAGCTGTCAGAATTTATCACTCTCCAGTTAAACGCCCCACCCATCCACCCACAGCGGTACCCATTTCATTCAAAGTAAAAGTGAAAGGCCTTCCAATTGCTGTTAATCCAGGTGGTGGAGGTTCCATGGAAGCCCCCACCTCACTGCTCAGATTGCAGGGAGTGGACCGCAGGGCACATTGTATCTCAGCAGAGAGTTGGGTGAGGTTTCGGGGACAAGCAAAAGTGGCCGCCCTTTCCCATCGTGGAGTTGCCCTGCCCTCCAGGAAGTGCGTTCTTTTCCAGCCCAAGCTCCTGGTTTCCGCTGGAGGTAAAAGGGTCTGGCCACTGCCACAGGCCAGTCTCAAAGGAGCATGGGCACAAAGCCCATTTCCAAAGGCTAGACCAGCAAGCTGGGAAGAGGCCAGAGAGCTCAGCCTGTCTGGGAGCCAAGCTGGCTGACTTCTCGGTGAGAGTGGCATGTCTGGATGGCCCTGGGATCAGAGCAGCGTGGTGTCAGGTCCCTTTACTTTGGAGGGAGAGGGTGTCTGTCTGTCTGTGCCATCTGTGGGTCAGGGTCCAGCCTGGTGTTGGAATGTTCTCTCTTCATATTTGGGGTCCCAGAGGCTACACTGGAAAGACCCATGTGCTGGGTGCCAGGGACACAATGATGGATAAGATACAGCCCGCCCTCACAGCCCTCATCATTTAGTGGGGAGACAGACACGTAAATCGCCAGTGGGCAAGGATGGAGCAGCAAGAACTCAGGGCAGGGGCCCCACCTGACACTGAGGATGTGGCAGGCAGTCAGAGAAGCCTGCTGGGGGGCAGGTCACGCCTAGTTTCTTAGGAATAAAAGTTGCACCAGTCTTCACTGATACTGTTAGGGATGGAGACGCAGAGGATTTCCTTTCCCACAGTTCTGATAAGACCAGTGCTGTGACCTACTTCTTACCACACCTGCACAGATGTCACCTGGCCATTCCATATGAGTCAACATGGCTGGCTGGAAGACTTGTGGCCCAGAGTTGTGGCACTCTCACCCCCAGCCCAGCAGAGAGGAACGGGGTCCTGAGGGGCACTGGGCATCCACCGTGTACCCCATGCTGGGCTGGTCCAGAGACGTGTGATCGATCCCTCGTTGTTCGTCTGCAGCACTGCTCTGCAGGTCAGTATTATTACTTCCATTTCAGAGATGAGCAGACTGAGGCTCGGAGGGGTTGTGTTTGTCCCTGCCTTTTGTCCCAGGCCATGCCTCTAGAGAGAGGCCAAGCCTGTATTTGCACAAATACAAGCCCGTCAGCCTCCAAAAGGTGAGCCCGTCCCACAGAACTCAGGATCTTTTTTCATGCCCTCCGACACTCCCAAGCACGGGAATGGTGACGCTGGCTAGCTCCCTCGAACAGCCTCTGGCACCAAAGTCTGAGAAGCCAGGGATATGACTCAGAGAGCTGACATAGGTAGATTCTTCCGCAGCCTCAAGGGGAGATTTGGGTGGGCCAATTCCCATGACAGACAAAACTGGGGTGAGGCCTAGGCCCCTCGCTGCCTGCCTAGCACTGCTGTTGGCCAGTCACAGGGAGACAGCCAGACCCACGGAAGCCCCCGCCCCAAAGAGGCTGCCCTCACTGCTGGTAACACACTCAGGCCCCCGTTAAGGGCAGTTTCCTTGTCTCAACAATCCCTTCCCTGGTGCTGGCAGTCAGGGGCTCTTATTAAATCCTTCACCTCAAAGCTCTGAGGCAGTCAGAATTCCCCTCCTTATTTTATAGAAGAAAAGGAGGCCCAGGGAGGTTAATTTTTCAAGGGCTCAGTGTCTGATTTGAAACCAAATTGACCCCAAGTCCATGTCCTTGCCCCGAAGCCTGGTTCCCCCTGCCCTGTGTCCCGTCCTCTGACACCATCAGGGGCTGGGGGCGCAGGTACTCCAGCCCCCAGTGCTGTTGTCCTCTGGGCAGTGGGCCCTCTGCCCTGTGCCAGGCTAAGGAATCTGTGTGATCTTGGAGACAAGGACAGTTAGCAGGACACTGTGTTAAGTCAGGTGGCCCAGATGTCTGATGGCCAGAGGCCCTGCTGACCGCCAGCCTGCCTTCTTATTGCCTTTCCACGTTTCTGCTCAAGAGAAGTTGGGGGGCGGAGTGGGTGGGTGGGGCCCACGTTAGAGCTGGGCTAGGCTTCCCTGTCCTGGATGCACAGAGTAATCCCCTGACCCAGGTCCCGCCTCTTCCCTTTCTCCCTCTACTCATTCACCTTCTGTCACTCAGGCCTCTGTGGCAGGCCCTCCGCTGCAGCTGCTGCATCACAGGACTCAGGGATGGGGCAGTACAAGTGGCAGGCCCTCACGGACACAGACAGCTGAGGGGCTGGGACGGTGTGTGCAGTTGTGCACCGTCTGCTCCCTCACACCAGAGCAGAAGGCAAGGAGAGAGTCGGAGAAAGGCTAGGAGTGTGCGGGGGCTCTACGTGCCTGTGAGGGAGAGGCGTTGGGGTTGCTGGACTCACGGGGGCTTTCCTGGGCACATGGTGACCCTGCAGACCTCATCCTTCCTGCCCGTGCTACCACTTGGGAGGGGGCAGCTGAGAAGGGTCGAGGGTGGCAGAGCTTCTCCAGGGCAGAGTCTGCCAGCTTTCTTACTCACAGGCCCTCCTGTGGGGCAGATTTCCTGTTTGGTGGCTCCTCCCCTTTGCAGGGGCCTGCCTGGCCGGCTGCTTGCTCAGGCAGAAGTCCCTGGAGACCCTTTGTGTTTCTCGACCCTCCAGCTCCCGCTGTACTGCCAGCCAGCACACCTTCCTGGGCGGGAGCTTGGGTGCTGGGAGAGGGCTCCTGTAGTCAGGAGGGTTTGGAAAGGCTGGGGTGCCAATAGGGAGCTTCCTGCCAGTCACTGAGCCGAGCCCTGGTGAGGGTGCCCCAGGCTCTGCGCCCTGATGCGGGTGTCCAGCCTGTGCTCTGGTTCTGTCTGGAGCCTCATGCGTCAAGTTGTGTCACATTTAAACAGAGGCTGTCGGTGGTAGGACAGTGTGGCAGGCACTGCAGTTCAGCCAGTGTGATTTCGGAATGAGTGAATCTGCCTGGCCCCTCTCCCTCTTCCTGGCACTGCTTGCGCCGGCACAGTGATGGCCTCAGAATGAGGGCCTGCTGGCCATCTGCTGGACTCAGCTTTTACTTCTGCGAGTCCTGGTAGACTGCCCTCTTGGGGGACATCTGAACCCCTGCTTTTCCTTCTGCCACATGTTGTCACCCTCCACTCTGTCCCCTCCGGATCCACGGGCACCTCCTCATCCTTCTTCCTTCAAGGACAGCGGCCTGCAAAGGACCAGGTGGTTCCAGCCTGGCCAGCCTGCCCAGGAGGCCAGCATGTTGCAGGAGCTGGTGTGGGTTTGTTGCTGAGTCCTTGGGAGCACACAGGAGGCCGCCTTTCCCAGTAAGGGTGGCAAGGGAAGGCCCATCCGGAGACCCAGAGGAGGAAAAGTGAGGATGGAAGGCTGGACCCATGCAGGTGAGGGGCTCAAAGCTCACGGCCCTTCCCCATGGTCTGGGAGGACTGGGGCTCCTTCCTTTTGGGCAAATGCATAACAGGATCAGGAGTCTGGCCCCTTCCCACAATGTCACATGGCTTCTTCCCACAGCGTCACATGCCAATGGCTCCAGGCCAGGACACAGAAGCTGGAGAGAGATGGGCAAAGAGAGAGAAAGGAGGACCAACGTGAGTAAGCCGGGCCCACGAGGGCCCAAGGGCAGGATTCCGGTGCAGGCTGAGAGGCACAGGGCGGGTACCTAGCGCATTCAGAGAGGTGCGGGAGGCTGGGGTGGTGGAAGCTGGGGCAGCACCTGAGGGGCACCCTCTTGCTGACTGACTCCCAGCCCAGTGGGCTCCAGGCTCCTCAAGTGTGTTGACTCCATTTCGATATTCAGAAATCTGATACCTTTCACATGATTCACAGTCCTTTTACCTTCTCTTTATGCTAATGATTCCAGAAAGTAAATTAAAAGCAGATTGTCTACTTAAGTGTAGGCCTGGGACAACATGTGTCTCACACTTTGCTTGGGATGAAATTCCACAGCCTTTAGAAAATCAGCCTCGTTTCGACAGGTTTCATTCCTTCTCCTCACGTTTGATGGACTGTTGGAATACTCTCAAATACATAATTATTATGTGTTTGGATTTCCTCAGCTGCATATTTAGGAAGCCCAGGAATAGTACCATGTTGCTTAAAAATACTTTTTTTACTATAGAAAATTTCAATCACACAAGTGAAGAAAGTAGTAAAACGAACCCCCATGTGTCCACGAGCAGCTTTAATAATTATTAACATTTGACGGATCTGGTTTCATCTTTGGCCGCCACTCCCACCCCCACTCCTGACTCACGTCATTTCTCTGTGAGTACTCAGTCTTTTTTCTTCAAAAACATAACCACGTGCTATTGTAGCACCCAAAAGTTCACAAGCATTCCTCGCTATCACCAAATATCCCACCATGTTTAGGTTCCCCAGTTGCCTCATTAATGGCTTTTACAGGTGGTTTGTTTAAATCAGGATCCAAAGTTCATGCATCGACTGCATCTAGTTAACATGCCTCTAGTTCTCCTGTCCTATCTCTGCCTCCGACCTCATTTTTTCTGGTTGTTTCTTTACTGAAGAAACCAAGTCATCTGTCCTGCAGAGTACCCCGTATTCGGGACCAGGTTGGCTGTGCCCTCTTGGTATCATCAACGTATTGCTCTGTTCCCTGTCTTTCCTGTGAATGGCAGTCAGAACTGGAAGTTTAATCCAATTCGTGGGCAATTTTCTATAAGAACATTTCATAGATGGTGTAATTTAATTCTTATCCCAGCAGGAGTCACATAATTGTTGTCATAAATCTGTTGTCTGTTTTGGGGAAACATTCCTGACAGAGTGATGCATCATCGAATTTACCATCAACGTTTTAGCTAGTGGTTTTAAAAGACAGCCATTAATGAACCTTGTCTGGATTCACTATTATATTAAATTATGCAAAATGATGATTTTCAAATTCTACCCACCCCTTCTGAATTTATTCAAATATTTCTCTAAAGAACTTTCCTACGTCAGCTATTGACTTACCCTGAAATACAGTATGTACAGAAACTGCAATACATCCTTAAAAAATGTTTTTTTTACCAATTTCCAAACTAATGAGCTGGTAATCTAATAACTGCCCACCGTGACTGGTGAAATGGTGGGTGTCTGGAACCTTGGCTTCCTCAGAGCCACCGAGTCAGCCTGCCACACTTTCAGGGAGGTCAGCAGAAGGCACGCAACTCCTGGGTCGGAAACCAAAGACATTTACTCATCAAGCAGCATGAACTTCATGTTCAAGTCAGTTCCCCTTGTTTTCCAAGTCCCTGGGTGGGTGCTCTACATGCAGTGGTTGCATCAGAGCTGAGAAACACTGAACTTTGAGGATGAGGAGTCACTTTTGTGCTGCAGGGAGACATTATTCAGACTTGGGGGCAAGCTCGTTCTCTGCTAACGGAGCACTGACAAAGGGCCTGGCTAAACAGAGGCCAGGACCTTGTGTTCTTTACGTTCCCAACAAGAGCATGTAAAGGTGCTGAGGACTGTGGCCTGAATTCAATTGTTTTTGTCTTTGTATTATGTGTGGGCTCAGTTATTTTTATTTATTTCCTTCCTTCTATTCCAAATCATTTATTTGAATCCCTTCCCTTCACTGTTGGTTCCCTGTGGATTTTTCCTTATTTCACTTAGCGTAGCTTTAATTTCTTCCCTTATGTTTTTGCTGTACTTAATGAGGTCTCTGAGCTTCCTAATCACCAGTGTTTTGAAGTCTGCATCTGATAAGTTGTCTATCTCCATGTCATTTAGTTCTTTTTCTGGGCTTTTGTTCTGTTCTTTCATTTGGGCCATATTTCTTTGCCTCCTCAATTTGGCAGCCTCCCTGTGTTTGTTTCTGTGTATTAGGTAGAGCTTCTTTGACTCCCTGTCTTAGCACACCTGTTATGGGTGTGGGGCGGAGCACCCCTCAGCTATTGCCCTGGTGATGATTCCCAGTGTGGGTGGGTTTGCATACGTTCTAAGTCTGTGCAGGCCCCTTAATCAAACTCTCCTGCAAAGCCAACAGTTTCTCCCACTGCCATAAGCCCCACTGGTTTTTCCAGCCAGAAATTGTGAGGCTTTATCATTCCCAGAGCTGAAATCCTGGGTTGCGTGGTCTGGTGTGGGGCTGGGATTGCTCACTCCCAAGGGGTCCCTTCTGATTTTTATCCACCACACTTGAATGTGGGACTGACCGTTCTGCCGCCACCACCACTGCCACTCCACACCACACCTTGTCCTCTCCACCCTGACTCTCCATCTCCACCCCTCCTGCCTATCTGGATGAATTTGGCTTCTTTAAATCCTTGGTTGTTGGAGTTCCATACAGTTTAATTTTCTGGCAGTTCTGGGTGTTCATTTTGTTTTGAGGTTAGTTGTGATTCTTCCTGTGGTTGTGTGAGGAGGAGAAGTATATCTCCCTATGCCTCCATCTTGATCGGAAGTCAGATTGCTGTATTTTAAATACAGCAATTGATAATTTGATAATTCTCTGTATGGCTAAGCCACCAAGTTGGTATCCAGTTAGGTTCATTTTTTTAAAATTTTATGTTTTTTTTTCTGTGTGCATTTCTCCTGAATTAATTTTGTATAAGTATTCTATAAAACATCTGCATGATTCAAAGCAAAGCTATAAAGTCAGGTAAGTTCAGAGAAATTTAGTATCCATTCTCTTCCCCCAAACCCTTTATACTTCCTCCCCGTACAGAAAACCATTTGCATTTTCTCTTCAGCTGTTCCTGCTTTTGTTTTAAAAATATAGGCAGACATGAAATATGAATATTTCTCAAGTCCTTATATATCAATATAAGATATAATATTATATACATGATCCTGTGCCTTGCCTTTTTTCATTTAACATTATATTTTGGACCTGTAGATTATACTGTATATAGAAACTCTCCTTATTCCTCTTTATAGAGACATAGCACCCCATTACACTGACATACTTTGGCTTCTTAAACCAGTCTCCGATTGCTGAAAATGTGGATTTCCTGTCTTTTGCTGTTATAACAGTACCTCAGTTAATAGTCTTACAATACGTCATTTTATAATTTTTGTTAGTATCTTAGAGGTAGATTCCTAGAAATAGGATTGCTGAGTGAAGGCATGAACATGTAGTTTTGCTAGATATGACCAAGTAGTCATTATCATTGAATACATTTAAAGAGTGATGTAGTTTTATTTAATATCAGATTTTACACACTCTAAAGTATTTTATCATATGCTTAAAGAGAGAGAGAGCAATTTAAGCATATGATAAAATACTTTAGAGTTTAATTTTGAGAAAGTACAAAGCTTTTCAAAAACATTTTAGGGCTTCTTGAGCAAAATTTTGAGATGGGGTGTGAGAGAGTGTAGAATAATTGGTCTGTATTCCTGTCGCTGCTGCGTGAAAGGTGAGGTTCTGCCGTCAGGCAGGCCTGTGACCCCTGCCCACTCCCTACGGGCTGAATGACCCTGCACACATCTTAAACATCTCTGTGACTCATGGGGAAGGCACTTTCAGGTAGTGTGAGTGAGCTAAGGCCTGAAAAGCCCCTGGCACAGAGTCCGGAGCAGGTGGACCACCATGTGGGACAAGTTATAATTGCCCTATTCTCGCCAGAACCTCGCTGCCCCTCCCCATCCTCATGGGTCTGAGTGGAAGAGGCAGCTATGTTGGGGCTGAATGATCAGGCAGTAGGTTGAGCAACTTGTCCTGGTTTGCCCCGAACCTTTCCGGTTTTAGCTCTGAAAGTCCCATGCCCTGGGAAGCTCCTGGATCCCGGGCAGACTGGGACAGCTGGTCACCCTGTTGGGAAGACAGGCGGGGGATGAGGGCTTCAGGGTCATCTGACAGAAGTTGGAGACAGCCCCACGCAGATGTTCTCAGGTCACATGACAGAACAAATAGCCACAGTCACAGGGGGACCAGAAATGATGTGAAGTTAAAAGGGGCCCTCACCTTGAAAAGATGAACTGGCAGGGGAATGCAGGGGTGCCCCGTTCCTTTCTTTCAGTTTGGGTGGGACTAGTTTTTCGTAGGGCCTTTAGCCTTTGGGTATCGACCGTGACTAAAAACCCCCTTGCTTGTCCCAGAATGGTTGAGGTTAATACTTTTTTGCTAACAATAACAAGATGTATAGTTAGACTACTCACTGTTATAGAAAGCAATCCCCTTAAACCATATTTAGTCATATATTTAGTCATTTCTATTCACTGGCATAAGTCATTGTTTAATATTGACCAAACAAATGAGAACATTTGTAACTGGCAGCCTGGGATTCAGGACTCCCTGCAGGAATTTTTGTGCCAGATTTGTGTCATTCGGCTCCAATTATTTCAACATTTTCATAAAAGAAAAATGTCCTCCCATATTGCTGGATGCCCCAAGATTGCCAAGAAGTAGGCCCCCTCAGCCTGAAAGTGAGGGAATGCGCCAGGACCCACTGACCCGCCCCTGCTGTTCGGGCCGCTGAGCCTCCCCAGGAGCACGGCCTGCCGCAGCTCTCTCTCCCGCTGAGGGCCAAGGAACTGCCTCCGGGTGGGGCATGCCAGACACAGAGGTCTTAGCCCCGATGGACTTATGAGTCATGCAACCAAATCTCATTGATTGCCTCTGAAATTGTAATTTCGTGTTCAGTATAGTTTACCAGTTCTTCAAGAGCACTCTGTCCTCAGGAAGTGCCTGTAGTGACTTATGGCCTGTTACTCACTGACCTGCTTCCTCTGATCTGACCATCCACCATTCCATTCCCAGCCCCTCCCCCACCACCCAGTTTCAAGTGCCTTGTGTCCCATCATCTCTGTGGGAGATGTTTGGACACTTGTGGTGGCCTGCCACCCAACAGTGCCCAGTAAAGTGAGTGAAACTTTCCTACTTTGTATCGTCCTCCCCAGTATCATCCAGATGCAGCCAAGGTGGGCACCACTCCTTTCAAGGGTACTTCCTCTCCTGGGACCTTGATTCCCCAGCAGAAGCATGCAAGCAGTGAGCAAATGTTTGGACTTCAGCCTCCTCCACCCGTGACTCTGGGAGAAGCTCCGATGTGACCTGGCTCTCCAGGCCCACCACCGCCCAGGGCTCCCGTGTGCCTTCCAGCCGGAGCTGGTGGTGTGCCTGGGCCTGCAGCCCTTAGGTGCCTCAGTGGTGAGGAAGGTGTGTGGGCCTCCACTCTTGGGAACTTGCTCATGAAGCAGTCTGATTCCTCTGAGTCTAGGAATTTAATTTTTTTGTATTAATTTCTTATTTTCATTAAGTAATATATGTATATATAAACCTGGAACAAAATTCAAAATGTGTATTAAACCCTGTGAAAATGAAGGCTGTGTCCCACTCTGGTCCCCCACCCCAGGCCAGCCACGCCTTTGTTTCCTTCTGGAGGGAATCTGCACATCCACTGTAATGGTGACTTAACATCACAAACTGATTCCGCCTCCTTACACGCTATTCCCCCTACGGACATATCTTGGAGTCTCAGCGGTTCTGACAGAAGGAAGTCGCTGGATGTTTTGTCGGTAGGAACGAGGACCCACTCAAAGGGACTTGTTTTAAGGTGGGATGCTGACCTCCAGGGCTCTGCTGGCCAGGAGCCAGAGCAGCCTCTGGGTCGCCATGTGGGTCTCCTGGCACAACTGCCTGTCTTCTGTTTCAAAGTCCATTGTGCTATGTCTCATTCAAGTGTGTCTTCTCTGTGAGTGTAAGAGCACGTGTGCATAAGTGCAAAAATGCACGCGTGTGCGTGATGCTGGCTGCACGCGTATTTCTGACACCCTCGCCTTGTGCACAGTGTGAGAGGATGGGGGAAGTCAGGCCTCGTTGGCCTTCTAGCACCGAGCGCAGGGCCAGCAGACAGACGGCAGCTGCTCCACAGCATCTGACCGTCTCTTCCTGGTCCCCCAGCATGAAGCCTGCACTTTAGCCTAGCTCAGCCCAGCTTACCAGTGGTTTCCCAGATTACCAGTGGTTGCTCAAGAAACAGTTCGTTGTTTCTTGTTGGGTTTCATTTCTTCTACCTGGAATATCCTCCCTGGTTCATTATCGCCTGTCGAAGTCATGAGCACACTTTCTGGCCCTCCTTCTCTGGAACGCTTCAAGAACCTCTGTCTCGAAGAGGGTGGCCAGGACCCCAGCACTTACACACAGTGACCTTACCCTGACCCTGAATCCCATCCTGACATTGATGCCAGAGACACATTATCTGGGTGGCACCATCCCACCCAGTCCTCATGGCTCCCAGTGGAACCTGGAGCCACAGGGCTGGGACCAGCCCTGACGCTCATGCCCAGGTCTGTGGTCTTTCCACGGGAGCTGCACTCTTTGAGATTGGAACCCTCGGCGGGTAATTTCTTTGTCTTGCTATCTCCTGGTTAGTCTTTTCTCTAAACTCCCAAGAAAGAAGGAGCTGGAGACTAATACGAGACTGGCCCACAAGGCCCCGCCATGCACACACGCGGCCAGACCCCACGAGCAGAGGAGAGGAACCACGGCTGTCTGGAGCTGCCCTCTTGGCGCTCACTCATTCAACCAGCACTCACTCAGCTTGTTGATGGAGCTCCTTCCATGGGCTGCTGGGCATTGGGGATAGAGCTGTGAACGACACCATGTCCAGGCCTGAGGAGCAGATGTATGAGGGAGGGAGACCGAGGATAAACATGTAAGTAATAAACATATGGCTAGTGTGTCAGCAATGCTGTAAAGCAAACAGAGGCTGAGAGGGTGCGCAGTGGGGTGGACACTGGCGGTTTGTCAGGGTGGTCAGGGAGGGCCTGTCTGGTGAAGGGGTCCCAGTGAGGAGGACTGTTTGGGAGCAGAGCTGGGGGGCAGATGCAACAGCTGGGCTGTGCTGGGAGCCTTCAGGGGAGAGAAAGGGCCCCATGTGTTTCAAGTGGTTACCAGGGAGGAAGGAGTCAGGGGCAGTCATGAAGGATGAGGTTCAAGGTAAGGGTGCTGGGGTTGGGGTGGAGCAGGCAGCAAATTGTTTGAGCCATAGAGAGGGCTTTGGATTTCACTGCGTGTGTGCTGGGAAGGGTCCTCTGGACTCTGGAACATTCTAGAAGAGTGACAATATGAGAGTTACAGTTTAAAATGACTGTTCTGCAACTGTATAGAGAATGGGTTGTAGATGGGGCAAAGGCAGAATTGGGGAGGCAAGTGAGGGGCCCATGGCAATGACCCAGATAGGAGAAGATGGTGCTTGGGCTGGAGGAGCAGCCAGGGAGGCGATGGAAGTTGGCTGATTCTGGATCAATACCGAAGGAAGAGCCAGCAGGGGGTGTTGATGGGTGGGGTGTGGGGAGCGTGAGAGAGAGAGAGGCACCGTGGAACCCCAAAGTTTTTATCTTTGGCACCCAGAAGGTAGAGGTGGGAAAGGCTGTGGGAGAGGCAGCTGCCGAGATGTCGAGGTCAGAGCCCAGGTTAACAGCCGTACATTGGTGGTGGTTAGAGACGTTGGTGGTGGTTAGAGACGCAGGCTTGAGGAAACCCCAGAGTCTGGCTCCCATCCGGGGCCCCCAGTGCAGTAGGGCCCCCACTGGTGTAGGGCACCTTGCAGGGCTGCACTTGTCCCCCAAAGCCTGACAAAGCCCATCCTGTCTTGGCAAGAACATCATCCATAGCAAGTCAGCCCATTTGTCATGGTTAGACCAAAATTCTCAACTCTGATACTAGACTCTGCTAGTTGGCTACTTTGGTAAGTGCTCACTTTGGTTATAAAGAAACAGCCCAGCTCGCCATCCTCAAGTGAAAGACATGAGGAATTCTGACACCTGCCATCATTGTGGGAAATGGCCATGCTGTGTCCTTCGAAACAACAGAGCCCTTTCCCCTTGGGTGTCCTGGCTGGGACATCCCTCACTGCTCTTATCTTCTTCAAGGGGCGGCTCCTCCCCTGAAGTCAGAGGCCAGGGCCGAGCCCAGAGCTCCTCCAGCTCCCAGGCAGGACTCTGGCTTTCGGTGAGGAAGTGGCAGGGCCTTCGTGGGTCTCTCTACAAGCTTGGGGAGCAGAGAGACCCTCAAGTGTCTGCGTCTCTGGACACAGTTGCTTGAGGCTTTGTTTTGGCCACTTAGCCATGCCTCCCAAGAGGCTGACCACTGCCTGGTGGGTGCTTCTTCTCCTCAAAGAGTCATGTCAGGGCCTTGGACCATGAAGGAAGACAAGGACCCAGTAATCTGGAGGCCAACAGGCATTCTCCTGTGGCCACTTCTGATCGGCAGGCTGCTGGACTCTGCAGGAATAGGACATGGTGGCTACTGTTTACTGAGGGCTTCCCATGCACCTGGCGCCATTCTAAACACGTGGCATGGACTATATCTCCTAATTCTTACAGCTGCCACTGAGGTAGGTGGCGATGTTGTTGCCATTTTACAGTTGGGGCAATGTAGGCTTGCTGAAATTGGGCACTGTGCCTGAGGTCACACAGTCCGGGACTGGAGGGGCCAGCGCGGAAGCCCACGCCACCCAATGTGACAGGCTTCACGGGGATGGCTGCCCCGGGCCAGGTAGGGAAGTGCCAGCAAGCGGGGCATCAGCCATCTTGGCACCACAGCATAGAGGCCTTGCAAACACACGACAGCCAGCTCCAGGTTCCAGGGTGAATGGGACAGTCCCTGCACTCAGGGAGTTTGTGGCCTAGCAGAGCAAAGACCATGTGCTAAGACCACCACCCTGATCAGTGCCCCAGCCCAGTCATTGTTCCATAATGTCCCCACCATGGGCACAAGTGAAGAAATGACTTCTGCTGCGATGCTAACAGTATGGGCTGAGCTACCTACCTTTTGGGTCTTGGACTCTATAAAACCCTTCCCTATCTTGGTTAACCATGAACTTGGGTGGGGGTGAACCATGAGCACTGTTGACTGTTTTGCTCACAGGCCAAGCATGGAATCTGGCACATTGTAGGTGTCTGGTAAGACTGAAGTGAGCAAATAACAGATCATTGAGGGCAGGGGCGGGGAGGGGTGGGTGCTGCCATACCATCAGCATGGCCACCCTGCACCTGGGCCACCTAAGCAAGGCGCAGAACGCACAGGTGGGTTCTGTTGATGACTCCCCGGGGCCTGTCCTGTGACCTGGGAAGGGATGGTACTTTGGAAATAATCCTCAGTGTTAGAAGCCATGGACGAATGTGCCTCTAAGCACCAGCCCCGAGCCCACCAATCAGGCTCTTAGAGGAGCACGTGGGAGGTCGGGGGATAGAGGGAGAGGCTCTGAAGATGGGTGGGAAGGTCTGAGGCCCACTCCAGGCAGCATCCAGACCAGCCAGAGGACTTAGAGAAGGGATTGTGCCTGTGAGGTCCAGAGGCTCTTTCAAAGCAGCCAGTCTCCTGTCAACAGATGTTCAGGACTTTCTCAGGTGTGACGTGCCCAACTTGGCCAGGAACAGCAGGGCACACAGGGCCAGGGCTCTCGGGACAGCCCAGCCCACCTCATCTTCCTGCCCTCCGAAGGGATCAGGGAGAACTGCAGGCCTTAGGAGACATTGGGAATAAGTCTTGCTTTCATCCATGAATATTTAATGAGCACCTACTTTGTCCACGCACGAAGCAGATCAAGCCCCTGCTCCCTCAGAGCCCACACACCAGAGCATGATAAATCCCCTTCCCCTGCACACCAGAAAGGCTCACTGGAGGGGCTGTGTCTCTGCTGCAGCAGAGAGGGCGGGGGCCACTGGGGGCCACTGGGAGCACAGATGGGAACTGGAAAGGCAGGCCCTCAGCAGCTCAGCGAGGCGCGGCCCGGCCAGCTGGCCACGGACTCTCTTTGCTACAGATTTTTGTTTTTAAAGAACCTTACCAGGAACCCTGTATAAACAGTGTTTTATTAAAATAACTTCATTTGATGCCTTCCTGGTTGTGGTATTTACTTACTAAGCCCAGTGGTGAGATCAATAAGGGAGTTTTGATCAATACAATCACTTAAAATCCAGGGTTAGGGAAATCGCTGCAGTCTTGTGCGACTTAGGTACCCAGTGACTTCCCACGTTCAGGGTTTCTTCCACTCAGCGCGGTAATGTTTGGGGCCCGACAGTTCATCGTCATGTAGGCCATTCCTGTGCATTGCAGGACGTCTAGCAACATCCTTGATCTCTAGCCACTAAATACAAGGAGTAATATTTTCCTCAGTAGTGAGAACCAAAAATGTCTCCAGACATTGCCAGGTATGCCTCGGGGTGGCGGGGGGGGGGGGGCGGAGGGGTGGTGGTGGTGGCAAAATCACTCCAGCTGAGAGCCCTGCCGTCTGTTTTGATTGCAAAAATACCTGCAACTGGCAAG